GGTAGATGGTGGATAGTAAGCCAAGAAGTGAAAGAGGAAAAAAGGGGGTGGTGGGTGGGGGACAAGGAAGGAGGGAGATGGGAGAGGACAAGGGGAGGGAGGGAGGAAGATCATGCATAAAATCTTGTTTACAGAATGCATTAAGATTCAGATGAACTGGGGAGGGTAATGGGATTAGAATCCTGAACCGCTTCCAAGGGTGGGGAGTTCGGGATTGACAGCTGAGCCTATTGCACTGACGAATGCAGTGAAATATTCTGGCTCTGGCAAAGACGGGGGGCAGGCAGGGGGCTTTCTGAGCCCAGCGCACCTCTGTTTACTTCAAGGTGTGCACCACAAGCAGAAAAAAATGCAGCTGAAAGATAATAATAATAATAAWAAAACATGTTRATCTTTATGAGTGCATTCAGCTCAGGCTTTTAAAATGAATGTTGTGTTGGGGGGAAGCAGAAAGAAAGGCTCACAAAAGGTGTTTGGCAAACAAAATAGAAGCACTGTGGCTTTAAATCACCGTCCCTCCCACCCTTTCTAAATATCGTCTATTTAGCCAGCGGTGAAACGATATAGGGGGCTTTTGTCTGCGTTACCCATTGGTGGGGGGCACGGAGKGCTGGAAAGACACAAAAATAGGAACAAAGTCCTAAGCTTCCAATTGGAATTGCTCTGGGGCAATTCAATGCGCACAGATCAGGGGTTAAAAACAAGAAGTGGGCTTCTAGTCCGGGCTTATCTGAAAATAGGCTATTCTCACACAGCTATATGGGGTTTGAAAATCCCCCTGCATTGTTTATACCAGGCAAGGCAAGCACGAGCCCTTTATAAGWCTGGTATGTCTCCGCGGAAAACGCGAGCAGTGTTGTTTTGTTGATCACAGCGTTATTATTATTGTTGTTGTTGTTTTTTCCCCCTGACGCTTTTAGTCCACTCACCGACTTGCAATACGTTGTCCACCCAGCCACCCTCCAGCAGAGTGACACCCCGCAGGAAAGGCAGCTGGGTCTCGTCATTATTGTCACCGCTAGATCCACTTTCCTCGCCTCCGGCGTTGAAGGAAGAATACATACAGATCTCCTTRTCGCTCCTCGGGAACGACCAGTAAACGATCCTCCGCTGCACGGGCTCCGGGATCCGCTCGAACCGCTCCTCCACCCGTTGGAACGGCCACTTCTCCGCGACTCTGCGCGCCGCGATGTCGAGCAGCGACTCGGGGTTGTGCGTTTTCCCGTTGCCAGACGCTCCCGGAGCGGAGCCTGCGCCGCCGCCGCCGCCGCCGCACGGGACTCCTCCAGCCCGCTGCCCCTGCCTGCACGCCGGGTTGTAGCCGGGCCGGCAGCAGAGCCGCTTGGCCGGGGGCTGCTGGACTCGCTCCGCCATGATCGCACCGCTTCCAACCTGAAGCGCAGCTCCTCTCCGATCATATAAACGGGATAAGGAAGAGAAAAAAGGGGCACTTCTCGCACCGATTGTTTGCCGTACATGGAGCGGCTGGCCTTATTTGGAGCGGTGGGCGGAGRCTGCGAGTTCCGTGAAGTCCCTTTGTGTTGTCAAAGTAACCGGGATGGGCGGGGCCCTGGAACGCGAGTGGCGCTATAAAAGGAACTGGAGGCGGAATTCCCGAACGTCGGCAAATCCTTTGTGAAGCCGTTCGGGAGCGCGAGGGCGGAGCCCCGGCGGCCGACGGCCTTTGAAGTTCCCTTCTTATARGAGTTTAAAGGCGGGGACTTAATCCAGGGGCGGCCTCGTAGTTTCCCACAGGGGTAAAAGGGGGCAAGAAAACTGACTTTTCTTTTTTTTTTTTTTCCTCCCCTCCCTTTGGAGCCTAAGCTATCACCCCGGGCTCCAGCTTCTCCAACAACCGCTCTGATGGTTGTTTTTGAGGCTTAGGTTTAAAAGGACTTTCAGCTGTCAGAGACTGAGAGGCCGTGGGAGGAGGAGGAACATGAAGATATGAAGCGGGACATGCTTGTCCTCTTTGGTTACATCAGTCATTTAGGTCAGATGTTTGGCTGACTCCACCYCATCAGTCTGTGCACCACAAAAATAATCAAACATGTGCCTCATTATATTTACTTTAAAGGAGTCGTTTAGTCAGAGGGTCTGTAGCGAGCAGGGTTTAGATCTGCAGGAAATTATAGGAGGAAGCTCCCTGAAGAGCTACAAAACAAATTCAAARGGAAAGACACTTTAATGTTACCTTATTACGTTATTCTGAATCCAACGGGGAACCTAAATAGTGAAGCACTTAAGTTAAGCAGTTTGTTAAGACAATGACATAAAGTTTGGAAATGCAGGTATGCACTGAATGTAAACAAAGCACATTTACCTGTAAAGTTTACTTAACAAATCTATATGTAAATACCAAATAGCTTAAAATGCTAGGTTTTTACATCCATCATGGACGTGGCCCATGTCAACCTGTTTTCAGTCACTTCGGCTGTTTTTGTAGGTAAACAAACACTGTGATAAGATAAGATAAGATAAGATAAGATAAGATAAGATAAGATAAGATAAGATAAGATAAGATAAGATAAGATAAAACTTTATTGATCCCACAGTGGGGAAATTTTCACATCACAGCAGCTCAAAACAGGACAGGGTGAGACAGAATAAAGATAATAATAAATAAAGATAAGTAAAAGAAAAACAAAAAAACACTATACTTGTGATATACAGTATATCCATGGTGTGTTTGTTAAAAATAAAAGTTAAAAACAAAAAAAAAGTCAAAAATAAAAGCTGAAACACAAGAAAAACACAGAAAAGTAGGAAAAAAAGCTGGGAGCTTCAGTAACAGGCTGCCTACCGTGGTGCCATGTTGGAAAAAAAAAAAAGATGGCATCTGGTTACAAATTAGTGATCAATATGAGCAACATAAATGCAGATTTTGCTTCTTCATGATGTTGCATTAAAATGAAGTGATGACTTAAATATTTGCCACTCTTCATTGATCAGTAGGCCTCAGGTCTAACCTGTACTTTGGTTTTTAGACATTCCTTAATATATAACAAATGTGTGGGAAAAAAAGAAAGTAGGAAGTAGTTTCCTACACAAACCAGAGGAGATAATTAGATGTTTCTTTTTGGCCCCCCACCTTGTCCGAGGACAATATTTCCATAGCTGTATCATGAAAAGGGGGCCTCATTTCTGTTTGAGTAAAATACTCATAAGGGGGTGAGGGTGTGGTTGCATCCCACACCTCCCTTGGATCCTGACGCCTGTTGAAACAGCAGAAGCGAAGAATGATAAGAATGTAGCAAAAAGCTACCACCTCAGGGAAGTTGTTTTTTTRTTCCTTTTCTTTTCTAAATTGCCTATAAACTTGGCCAAAACTATGCTGGTAAACCAGAATGAGCGTTTGCGATGTGTCTTTCCTCCACTGCATGTGTTCCCAGCTGCCCTGCTCCTTCCTCTGTGAGTGGGTCTAAAAGGCTGGCCTTTGAACTGCTCTGAAAGTGATCCATGCCGTATGGACAGAGCAGATGTGGCCTAACCTGATTTGGTTTCAATACTTCCCCACAGGAAGTTCACAAAGCCAGCAGGTCCTRCTTTGTTATGTTAGTCATTTTTTTTCTCCGAGGGCCAGTGGAGCCTTTGCTCTCCTTTTTTTCTCGCAGTTGTTGCTTTGTCGCTTTCCCCTCTTTTCCCTCTACCGTTTAGGCTTTTTGACAAAGGTTTCAGCAGAAACAAACTTAATTTCAACTATGCACAAAAGGAACCCTCACAACATTAAGCTATTATGTTCTATAAAATTCTTCACTGTAACCATCTCCTAGCACATTTTTCTTATATTAATATCATAATGGAGATATAATTATCAGTTCTATAGTCTTTAATTTGTTTGTTTAAAAGTTCAGGTTTTCACATTTTCATGTAAATTTTAATAATAATTCTGCTGCATCGCTTAAGAATGCCAATAACAGTAAAGAGATATTCATGAATCTTTAAATATGTTTTAATTAATCAGATGTTTAATGATCATCGTTTTACAGTAAAGTAGCTATTTCTCAAATGATGAAAAGCACAACTCTATAGAGATTTGATGGACAAAACAAAGCATCTCTTTTATTGGCATTTGTTGCTAAATGTTTGTATTGGTTATTGTAATGGAACTAAATATTATTTAAATAAATATTAAATTTATTAAAGTTCTAATTTCATTAAAAAAGTTCACGTGTTGAAACCTATCAAAGAAAACAGTTGTTTCAATTTGACATGAAGCGTCTCTCTTCTAAACCACAAAGAACTACATTTCCCATGAGCAGGCGACGGTCTCATCTCATCCAATCACAGGCGAGAACTCATGCTGCATTCGCTTAAGCTCTGGTAAAAATATATTTATATATTCTTAAAGTGAACAACGTTCTTCTCTATCTTTTTTCACTACTGAAAAAATAGTAGTTTATTAAATAAAATTATATCTTACGTTGTCAAAAACAAACAGACAACTAAACAAATAAACACATATAAAAGATGAAAGAAATCTTGTTAGTCTCATTCTGACTGCGGTACATGAACGCCTCGTAATTTGTATCGTTGCACTTCCTCTAAACAGGGAGGTTCTGCTGGTTATCATCGAGGATTTTAAACACTAACTTTTGCACTTTGGTAAGTTTATACAAGCTATAACATGCGTTAATTCTAAATATATATTGTAAAATAGGRGCATTTTTATTTTACATTAAGACACAAAGCTGCTTCGCTTTAGCCGATAGGTAGCCTTTAGCTCCTGAAAGTTAGGCCTCTCATCAAAGGCCTTAGCCTATAATACAACTAAACATTTTACAATCTCAAATATCATTGACAGACAATATTAGGTTCTTGCTTGTAAGTTCGAAGTGTCCAAGAACACTTTATTATAATCGTCTTTGCATTCTGTTTACCAATATTAGCTTCGTGGGTGACGCTAGTTAGCCGTTAGCATTTGGAGAGTGATGAAAAATCGCTACACAGAAAGTACCTCTTCATTGCTTTATTTGAAAAAGAATCCTTCAAATTACATAGTTTATGGATATATAACGCATAAAAACGGTTTCAGCCAGAYCAGTTTAGAAATATGCCTCTGGTTAGCTACTGAAATTAGTTCTGTTTGTTTTGACGATATCAAGATAAATAGTTGAAGAAAGTTGTGAGTTTTGAAAACTTGAACGACTTTGTGCACAACTAGTTTTAGCTGTGTTAGGTTTTTAATCTAGATATAAATTTAAGAGTTAGTTAAAATGAGCTGGCTTCTACAACACATACTATAAATGCTAAATCATTTATTGTAAGATGATGAATCCAGTTGTGAGGAGCTTCAGGTGAGCTTGATGGTAATCTAAGCTAAAACAAACAAACAAACAAACAAACAAACAAACAAACGTGTGTTTAGATTAGGATGAAATGTGTGTGTTTCAATTTGTTATATTAGGGTTGGGCATAATCGTATCGTGTGTGATTAATCATCAGAAAAACAATCGATTATTTTTTGGCTTTTGACGATTAATACGATTAATGCAACCAGGCAGTCCGCTCGGTGCTCCTCTCTGCTTCAAATAAGACGAACATTTAATAAAAGGTATCTAATTTATTTATCTATCAACACAATTTAAGAGATATAGCCTGAAGTCTGTGATTTTGACACAATTTGGAACAGATTTTTACAAAGAGCAAGGTACTCCAGGGGATTAATCGTCAAATTATCYGCTAAATAAATACAATTAATCGTGATTAATTTTTTGCCAATATTGTCCAACCCTATGTTATACATAAAAATAAGTTAAAAAAATAGTTTTGTAGCTTTAATCAGCATTGTAACATTTATGACTGAATCATCATAATTTGTTTTTTATTACTGTTTTGATTTTTTGTGTCTAGTTTAAAGAAACAATAAACAAGTTATCTTTTCCTCATCCTCTGTCCCTAGAGTAATTGATGTGATTGTTTCATGGATATTTGTTCAGAATGTCTGAATCCATCATGTACCTCTCAGCCGTTCATGTCGACTTTCCTGTTGCTCGCAGGTTTGATTAGGCCGGTTCATTGCCGAGCAGGATGATTGATGTTCGAGCATGGGCAGAGTATGTTGTGGAGTGGGCTGCCAAAGACCCCTACGGTTTCCTCACCACCATCATATTGGCTTTGACCCCGCTCTTCATCGCCAGTGCGCTGCTGTCCTGGAAGCTGGCCAAGATGATCGAGGCACGTGACCGCGAACAAAAGAAGAAGCAGAAGCGTCAGGAAAACATAAAAAAGGCCAAGGGGACCAAGAAAGACTGAGCCTGTTGTGAGGGGGCGGGGCTGAGTGAGAGCATAGGGGAAGGACAAGCAGCCATCAGTCGCAGCCCRTTTTTTTATTCCATATAATGACTCGGTGCCCTTCCTTGTCCCAGCATCAGGGCTACTACGCCTCACGTTCAGGCAGCGGGACACTGGCCCACCAGGCCCGTCAGTGCTGCGATGGACAGCGCTGACAACAAGGAGACTCGTCCCAGTGGGACTCTGGTCAGCAAGAGCTCAGTGGTCATCAGTTAGACGTTTTATACAAAAAAAAATCTCGTTATACCGTGCAGCTGTTGTAATACCTTGCATTCCATTGTTAACACCTCTTTTCTGCCMAACTGACCCGTTATGAGCATACTGGAACTGTCAGTTGCAACTAAAAATTAAAGTTTTTCTTGAATAAAGACTTCCTGAGTGATAAAACAGATAAAATCAGTTCTCAAATTTTAATTCATATGAAAAATTTATATTCATAAGTGATTGTTTCCATATTATAAAATAATTACAATTACATCACGATCAAGCCTGAACCTGGAGCAGCTATTTAGAAGTGGTCCAGTCGAAATTGTTCAGAAGAGACCGTTGTGGTAAAGTCTCCTGTATCTTTCAGACCGTGCGTTTGCAACTATCCCACACAGCACAAAAGTGTTGTTTCAACAGTTACTGTATTTTAAAGCTGTTAAAGAACGGACAAAATAATTGTAGACCAAGAAATTCTCAATTAGTTGCAAAAACAAATTTGCTTTCACAGGTGGGTTCAAGTCATCTAAGATTTTCTTTTCTGCATGTCAAAGTACCGGTGATGTTGGTCCTCGGGGAGTCTTAAAATAAGGTAAATACTTTCAAATATACGACACCGAGTTACACTTCCTCAACTTCAATAAAAAGCCTAAAATGAAAAACAAAACTGCTTGTACGGAAGGTAAAGAAATCACATTTTTACAAGGTCCTGAATCATACAACCTTTACATTTTAAGAGGGTGTATTTGCCTTTGACTACGAGTGTGAAGCAGCAGCATATCTGTTCTCAGGTTTCAGTTGTAAAGAAGGTTTTTATGTTCAGATAAAACAATTTTTCTTTTACTTAAGACTCCTGTAGCTCTTTAAAATTAGATGTTTTTGGCTGAAATTCTTTTTAAAACACGTCACCAGAGAGAATAACTTCATACAGTGCATCTTTAAACTTTATTTAAATACGTTGCTCCACAAGCTACACAGTCTTGGGATGTATTCAGGTTTTACAGATGTTTTTAGGATGTGATTTTTCCTACAGTGTCCACCAAACCTGAGTAGTACTTATAGTAAAATTACACTAAAAATACTCCACGAAAACAAAGTTTAATCCAAACCTGACGCCAGCTGAAATCATGAGTTTTATGATGTTTCTGACTTGGATAACTGAACTTTTCTAACCTTGAATTCCAGCTAAGGTTATCATTGTTTTGATTCCAGAGCCTTTCTTGTGGATTTCATTAACTCCGTATCCTCCGTGTGTGTCTCGTTTTATTTCTTTGAAGTGGGCTTCCAGGATCCGGGCTGGAACGTGTTCGCGGTGCTGCTTGGCTCCTCGCTGATCTCCTGCTTGCCATAGACGGTGGCGGCTGCGTGGCCCTTGGCTGCAGTCTTTGTAGAAGTCGCCACCAGACCTTCCTTGTACTCTTTAGCCCGCAGAGCCTGATCTTTCTGCTCCAGCTCTTTGGCCTTCAGCTTAATCGCCTTCCTCTGGGACWCATTCATCGTGAGCTCCTGTGGAATAAACCAAAACAGTGTTGGTGCTTGCTGCTGGAATAATCAGTAAAACAAAACAAAAAAAGCTGTTTATTTTTCACCACCGTAGATAAATAGGAAAAAAGAACATTATTCACAAAGTACATTTATCCACTAAGTAGCGACATAAATTAATACTAAACGGAAAAATAAATACAAAGTTCACACAATCTGGACTCATAATTATTAAAAGGCTGCAGGATGGATGAACAAAATAAAAACTTCACATTTTACTACAATTAGCACTTWTTGATTTCACAGGATAACGCTACGTCCCTTTGAATCATTCTTCTCAAATATATTACATATTAAGTAAGTGAATAATTACACTGTTTTAATACCCATTAGTGCTGGGCGGTATACCGTTTTGTACCGAATACTGGTTTTTATTTTTGTTATGATATGAATTTTCTGAATACCGGACATTCCGGTTTAAATAGTCTGAACATGTGCGGAACGTTTCGTCGCGGCCACCAATGAGCTGTTTCCCGGGGGACAGTTTTCCTCACAGCACCGCTATGTGCGTTAGCATGCTAATGTTATTGTTGAACAGCTTCAGAGGCAGGTGGCGATTTCGCTGCTTATATTGACTGACTTTAAAAAAAATCCCGTTTTTGCCGTCGCTGAATGTAGTAAACACCTCTTCGGTGACGTGCACAGTTAAGATTTAATGCGCGACGTTAATATGGAGACGTTATGCTAATGGAGACTTAACGTGGTTCTATTGTGAAAAGCACGGGGAAAGTAGTTTGTATTTGTAATGGAATTGGAAATGACTGGTGTGCAAGGTGAGTCGTGCTGATAATCTTTATTAAATAACATAAAACAATAAACCCGATCATAAACTTTTCGTAACCCTCATCCTTCACGACCGGACCAAAATGCGTGACTGCTGTCTTCAACCAGGAGGAGAAAAGACAAATAGAGGAGGGAAACAGTGACAGACAGAGGTACTGTAAAAGAAAAAAGTCAATAAGCAGGGTTTGTACATTTTATTATCAGCTGACCTGTGATGAAAAGAAAAATACCGTCAAATACATCAAACCGGTGTAAATGTTGAAAATACCGTGATATAAATTTTTGGACATACCGCCGAGCTCTAATACCCATCATGAATACCTGGCGGTATGAAACCCACAACTACAGCAGCACTGATATTGACCACTTCCTGTTCTGATATTTAAAGATTTGTGAAGTTGGAAATGTTGAGCTGGAAGTTCCCAGGAGATTAGGAAAACAAAACAAACCAAAAAAAAACAAACAAAAAAACAAATATAGGTCTGTGACCAAATGATTACAAGCTGGAATGTCCAAACTAAAGCTTGATCATTTCCTCTCCTTAAACAACTTTTTTATAGTATTTGCTGAAAAAAAATCTAAAGAGAAACACTGCAAGGCGCCTAAAACAACTGTATGAAGTGAGACATTTACAGATGAGCACATCCRGTTTACGTCAAGTTTACGTCCTCAATAACTCCTGATTAAAAATGTGGTACTCYGTCTGCTTAGCTTAACGTAGCAGGAAGTATTTMCGACACCGGCAATCGTTCTAACTCKCGGAAACAATCAGAATCTGAACAGTCCACTGGTGGAAGAGTTACCCACTTGAGCTACAGCTAGTGTCCAGTGATGTTAGTTAGCCTCGCCCTGAAGCCGCGAGCCAAAAAGGAAGGGAGGACTGGGCAGAATGCTGCTGTACGCTGGCAAAACTGAAGGACTGGAAAAGAGAGGGGAGAGCCGTGGCCAAAAAGCCCCGCTTTGGGGAGGGAGACAAACATACTGAGCTGCTTTTCCAGCCTGTTAATGACAGGATTTAATCCAATCAATTTATGTCGCTTTGGAGCGGGAAGAGAGGGAGTGTGACAAGGGGAAGGGTAATGTGCTGGGAGTGCAGCCTTGGCCACATCAACGCTGTCCAGCTGTCGATGGCAGCTATTGGGCAGACGCGAGGCAGAAAATTGGAAGAGAATGTTCTGGCAAAAGAGGCAYGGGATGGCACTGGCTACTGGCAGGGACACCGGACAGAGAGATAGAAAGAGTGCCCAGGCACTGGCCTTCCAAGGGATTTCCTATAGACCCACATTTTACCGGCCAAAAAAAATTCCAGCATTCTCACATTTAAAGAGCAATAAACCCGGCGAGAGGAACACAAGAGGGGGAGGGAGGAGGGAAGAAGAAGAAGAAGGAAAAAAAACTGCACGCTTTCAATATTCCCATCTTGGAGAATGCCAGAAATAAAACACAAAAAGCCACGATGGAGGATTCTGCTGGAAAAAAAAAAGAAAGTAAACTAGGACACGATGTCAGTGAGCCCTGTGTTCAGAGGCTGCTTCTGCTCTCAGCCTCACCATCAACGCACTTCAGCTGCTGTTTATTTTAACACCTGTCCCCCTAAAGTTCCTACATTCAGTTTGAAATCACAACATTAAAACAAATCAAAGCTTTTTTTTTGTTTCCTTTTTCCGTCTTCGCTTCTTTCTCTTCCCTTGCAACTAGTCCCACAGAGTCCAACCATCAGTGCAGCGGGGAAGCTGGGCGAAGGGGAGTGGGGGGACGTACCTCGATGGAGGGGGGCTCCTTCCGCTTGCCTCGAATCCACGCTGGTAGAGATGAGAGAGAAAAAAGAGGAAAGCAAAGTGAGTGAGAACACCCACACCAACATACGGTGCGGTGTGCAAACAAAACCTGCAGACACATTTAAAGGCTGCAGCTACAGCATCACTGAGTAACCGAGGAGCGCTGCTGGATGGAAGAGGAGTGTACCCCGGGTTTTTAAACTTTATCGTTGTGATCAACTCAAAATCAGCTCTTTGTTCCAGGCAGAGCTGGGCCAGTGAGCGCCGTGTCTCACCGGAGAGCACGAGGATCTTCTTTGATGTTCACTTTTTTTTTAAAGTACACGCTTTGTCATCCTTCATCAATACCTCTGTCCCTCCTTTTCTCTCCAGAGCAGAACTGTGTCTATCACGTCTTTCTATTAGGTTTTTTTTTTTTTTTGGCTGAGCTGGCTGCACAGCAGAGAAGGTTAAAGGGATTCAGAGATAGAGAGAGGAGAGAGAGAGAGAGATTCTGCAACTCTTTCCAGCGAGCACCGGGGGATTCTGGGCCCTCTTTTATCCGTTTCTTATTTGCATCCTGATGAAAATGCATGAGGGATGGGGCGAAGCAGGATGAGGGGTTTAAGGTGGATAAAACCAGTCTGAGACACAGGGAACAGTTTGTATCTAGCTGTACGAAATTCGAAACACTATTTTATGGTACGGTTGTGGAACACCAGCAGGTGTTTTTTTTTTTTTTTTTTACAAACTCACCCTACTCCCCATCCCATCTTAAACTATAAAGGAAATATCAGACTAAACGGGCGAATCAGGCAAGATCCCAGAAGATGCAGCCATGAATCTGTCGTCCCTTTTAAGCCGTGCAGTATTTTGTTCACTCTGATCAGTAGCCATTTTGTCAAGATTGACATTTATCTACAGTAGTGATAAATGCAATATGTGGCCGAGATTCTGCAGTCGAAACTTACCATCCCACTCTATCGGAATGTTGCCCTCCACATATTCATCCACTGCAGGATTGGCTGGCACTACAATCCGCCTGGCACGGAGACGCATTCCTAGAGGAAATAAGGAAAAAAAAAGAAGAAGAAAGAAAGCAAGTGTGACTTGATGGAGGTTGCTCGTCAACGATGCACATAAAATGCAAAAAAAAAAAGTATAAAAACAAAGAAGCGCAGACCCAATGCTCTCCGCGTAGACACACACACTCAGAGGGATGACAGTGCTGTGACAGGCCATGGATGATTACCTCGCGGCCCTCGGGCCCTTCTCCTCAGATCTCGCTGAGTGGCTCCAAATCTGGGCTAAGCCTTTATGCAAATCAGCCTTCCTTTAGCCCCGACCAACCACGGCCCCCCTCGCCGACAACCCTCTTCCAATCACGGCGCTCTGGCTAACAATGCCCTCCAAAATCAACATCAAGCCCAGCAGGAGACAAAAGAGGTCAGATATCACAGAGAACAGGAGACGCCGAGGCTGCATGGAATATTAAGTGCTCCTTCTCCCCCCCCCCCTATCTGTATACAGCACAACGCTCGCTGGCAGCAAGGCCACTGCCAATTATTTTTGGTCAAATCTGCTGATTAGACAAGTTTGGCTGGCACACAATGACATGGAGACGAAGGCAGGACGATGGGTAAGGGGTGGGGGGGGGGGAGCTAAGGAGAGACGGAATCAAAGAAAGCAGGAGGGAAATGTCTGTGCGTGCTCAAAAATAACAAGTAATGCGTTTCCATAGTTTTCTTCTCACAGGTAGTTGGATGTCTATCTATCACTTCCATCCCTCTGAGAAATGATAAGGCAAGGAAGGGAGGGAGGAGGTAGGAGCTGGGAGGGAGAGAGTGATGATGCATGGCAAACACGGCTAGGAGAGAAATGTATGGGCAAAGTGAAAAAAAAAAGAAAGAAACAACACGCTCCAAAACACAGACAATCTGTCAGGATTCCATCAGTTTCACCGCAGCCGACCAGACGTGGACAAATGGATGCAACCACACGGCAGACTGATGGCCTTAATGTTTACTTCAGCCGAAACAAATGGGTCTGGCACTGGGATGGATAAATGATGACTTTCTAAAATGTGGCAAAGTGAGGTGCATGTTTCTGTGTATTCCCCCCTCTAAATTTTAGCTTTGACAAAAGCATTTCTTATACATGTTCTGTTCTGTAATTATGTCTTACGTGGATGATACTTTATCCAGTACATACAGTAATCAGGCCAGCTAATTAGGCCAGTAATGCTTTAGTTCTGCCTTGGTTCCCTCCAGATTGTCACTATAGGCCCTCACAGCTCTGCAGCTTGATTTTTGTTGTACTCAGTTTGAAAATAAAAGTCTTGCAAAGCTGCGCCAGCAAAGAGCAAAATCACCATCGTAGAAAACTTCCAATAACAAAACAACTGTGAGCTAACAAGAGGTTGTGTTCTCCGGGCTGTACCAGCGAATACATTTAATGCCAATAACAAACAGATCACATCCAAAATTTGCAGGGATGTGGGTGGCAGCAGACCGAAACGGTAAAATTGCATTAAAGTCCTCCACATTGCAACGTGCTTAGCTTCTGCTAATGCCTAGATAACAGGCATAAAGAGAGCAGCCTAGTTCTCCCGTCTCTTCTACGTTCCATCTCCTCCTGTCACACACCAACACGGCTCTTTTCTTGTGTTGGTGCCTTTTGCGGCATGACTAAACCCCTTCCACAACATCTTTTATCCAGGGGATTTTAATGACAAACACAGGGCCTACATTTATTTTGGATCCTCCCAACACAAACGAATTGGGAGGAAACCCGTTGGTCTGATTGTGGCGTTTCTCACACAGCGGTGATTTCAAACAGGTGTGACGTTGAATTGGTCATTTTATTTAGGTTTATAAAGTTGCAGTCATTGCATCCACCTAGCCATAAGCTAATGTACGTCCAGACACAACTGTTGTCGTATTCAGTTTAGAGAGAAGTTTTCTTCCTGAAACCAGTCTCAAGATATACCTGTTCAGTCTTCATAAACCTTAACATTAAACCTTCTAAATGAGGCCTGTAGATGGGTCTTACTTATTTTATTTTTTGTCAATTTCCTTAATCATTACACAGTCTGACCTTGGGGTGATTTTGTTTGGATGTCTACTGGGAAAATCTGTAGCAGTATCAAATGTTTTCACCTCACTTTATAATGATCAACTTCAAGTTGTTAGTCGGATGACATTTTAACCCTTCCATGATTGACATCTCTATGGTTATTGCTGATGTCTTTCCCCCTTGGCATTGTTAACACCTGCAAAATGCTCAACTCCCTGTTTTTACAGGGGTGGTTACACTTGGTAACAATCACTTAAAGGAGACATACCATGTTTTTGAATACTTCCTTTTTACATTTAAATCATTCAGTTGGGGTCTATATAAAGTGAAACTGCAATGCTTAGATATGAATTTCTCCTTATTGTAACTCTACAAGCCTCACCTCTTTTTTGAGGTGTGTCGATTACGGCTGCACCGATTAATTGARTTGATTTATTGATTCAACAGGAAAAGATTATTAAAAATCAAACCTGACTCAGCATAATTGCTGTTTTACAGCAGGTTCCTGTTCTGCAGCACATAAAACACTCAGAAATACAGCATCACAATCACATCATTATACACCATAGACACAAAGACAAACAAGCATACCAAATTTCAGGAAGGCAGCATTTGCAAAATAGGACGTCTAAATATGAGCACTTGAATATGAAGTATGAGCAGTTGAAATAATCGATAACGTCGATTATGTAAATTTGTCGACGCAGATTTTTTATTATCGATTCGCTGTATTACATAACCACCACGTGAATGTTCATGCAATTCCATTTCGGTACCTAAATGCATCATTGCGACCGTATTGGCATGAGTCGTGAGTTTTCCATGCATGTCCTGAACGCAACATCGCACAAGAGCGTAATGACGTCAGCAGCCGCTGCTTCAGTTCAGTCTGAAGCTTGAAAACAAGCCTCGCAGCTCCTGGAGTAAAATTTACCGAACAGACCGCCTCTGAATTATCTGGTGGATTAATTGTCTTGTGAACATGACGCTCGCTTGCTCAAAGTAAATAAAGTACCACCACTTTCTTTATTTCATCCACCATTAAACAGAGACCGGTGTTAGGTCGAGCCGCATTCCCAGTTCCCCCAGCGTCTCAAACAACAGAGGAGCTTCCCGACACACGTCTGACCTAAAGAGCACAAGCAGCCAACAAGTGTTGGACGTGTTTTGGATGTTCAAAACATAGCTTAAATACCTTTTATGTATTTTAACTGCATCCTCTTTTGTTTATTTGATTTAAACTTATTTGCCTTCCATGGACCTTCATCACCCATTTTTCTAGTGGGGAAATGACATCAATAGAAACATGTGGAGCTGGATATTAATTTGTGCAATAAGACAAAACAGTCTGGTTGTTTTCAACAGTTTTCACCTTAAAGAAATAAGTTACACAACTAGAGCTGCCACAAACGATTATTTTAATAATCGATTAATCACCGATTATTTATTCGATTAGTCGACCAATCAGATCATACGTTAATTGAATATAAAACATACAGCTTATCGTGCCAGAATGCAGCTGCTATTGTATAACCATCGTTAGATTTTAGTTATATGCTAACTAAAAATAATTGCTGTGGAAGGCAAGTTCTGCCTTGCAGATATTACACAGGTTTCTCTTTCATTTTCTTAAAATGTTCTCATACTTTTGAGCTCCGTTGCTGGGTAGCCATGATACCAGAGCCMGTCTGTATAATGTCTTGTGACGTCCACGGCCTACCCCAGTTACCACTACTGTGCATGTGTGTCAAGGACAGAAAGGCAGATGTGGCAGTGGAAGGTGTCAAAGCAGTTTGGAGAGAAAAACAAAGTAAAGAACAACAACAACAAAAAAAGAAAACGATTAATCGACTATTAAATTAGTCATCGGTTATTTTAATAATCGATTAGTCATCGATTAATCGATTAATCGTGGCAGCCCTATACACAACTGACGTTACAATACATAGTTGGATGTTGTCTTGACATTAGTTAATTTTTATATATTGAAAAATGTGTTAAATAAAAAATAAATAAATGTTTATTATAGTTTTTCCAGAGTGACTTGAATTTTGCATGATTTAGTTCATTTGTTAGATTGTTAACATCTTGTACTATATTTTTTACTTGAATTTTATATGCTTTGGTTGAGATTTTATGTTGATGTTAAATCTTTTAAGCTTTTTTTGTCAAAGAATTGACTCTAGAGTGCATATTTTGTGTCCATGAAAAAAAACTATTAAAGAAAATATTACAATAATAAAGAACAGTTCTTGTTAATTTGATGAAAACATTTTAAATATCCAGTGCACTCACATCAGAATAACTTTTAGATTTGTTGTTAGAATAATCGATTAATCGAAAAAATAATCGTTAGATTAATCAATTAGAAAATAATAGTTTGGTACAGCACTAGCYTCGATCAACTTCGTTTGAAGCTGTCTCTTTAAATCCAAATGAGGCTCTTTACACCCCGCCCTCCAGCTTCCAATAGCGATCTGTTGTAGCTTGATAGAGGGGTTTACGATTACGTAAAAGGTGGAGTAGAAACTTTTTATTTACAAATTAATCAAAAAATGTCAACAATTGAAGACTTGTCCATCCAGCCTTACACGTTAGAGCCYTCTGACCTAGAGACAGAGGAGAATGAAGACAACAAAACTGCAGTTGGTAAGTCCAGACCTTTTTTGGAAGTTCTGTCAAATACTGGTGACATCATAATTCAGCAAACATGATAGAGAAAACTGAACACATTGAAAAATACAACTCAAACAGAACACAAATACTAGATCAACCCAAAACTTTGAGACTAAATTTAAAATGTCTGCACATCTAGAGACTCCAAGTACACAACAAAATGCATTTAACAACTAAARGATATGTCCTCTTTAAAGTGCCTGTGACACATGTGGACCGAGCGTTGCTGAAATGGCTAACAACCCAGACTGTAGAGAGGAATCTGATGATTCTTTAGATTATTTTGAGTCATTATAAGAGATGAAGAAGA